AAGACATTAACGTTCCAAAAACTGATGAGAGTCTATAAAGTTTATCAAGAAGTTGGTAACACCCAGAAGAAAACGATAAAGAATCCAGAGAAATCCGTTTGTCTGTCCTTCTACCTGCCTGTATATACGCGAACTAGTCTTTCCGTTTTTGAGATATCGACATCAACCTTTGCGCACGTCTTTTTTTCCCAAGAAGCTACTCATTCATCGGAATCATGGATATCGGAGCTATTTAGTGTATAGCTGTCATACACACTGAACGATCGGTATCAAGTGCTTGTACGAAAAACTTTTTCACTTAATGAGCTGTGTTCACAAAATTTGGCTTGTGTTATTATCTAAGGCATCGCTATCATCTTCGAAGAATTTGTTCAGATTGGACAACTTTAATATATATTTGCTATGTGAATTGGCCGAACAAATCAAGTTATTGTAGGGAACCTTTGTATTTGTGAAAAGTAAAACATGTTTTCTACAACGTTTTTCTTATTCATCGTCATAAGCTTACACAGCGAACTCGATACACAAAATACTATAACTTTAAAACCTTGATTTTGGTGAGACGTTGATATTTTTAAAAAACTCTCTGAATAGAAGAGACAATAACTGTTCCAGCCATTACTAAACGTCCGGCATCATACCTTGATACTAATTCAAACTTAATTTAAGTTACCTAAAAACCAACGATATTGCTACTAGCTGTTTACTCTCAGTTTCCCCGCTAACTTAGTTAGAGGTTTCGAGATGAACTGACTGTCGGATGAATCTCTCCAAATTTGGTTGAAATCCGTCGAGTAGGTACTGTGATATACTGGCTCTTCTAAAATCTTCTTATAACATCTAAGGAATAAAATTTTCCATTTTTGGCATATCTACTTATTGAAATATAGCACTTTTAGTAGGTTTTAATAAAACACTAATTTTTATAGGGAGGGTAGGGATGCCAAAAAGATTTGCCCATAACGCATTTGGTTATTATGGCTTGAATGGTTAAGGTGATATGCATATTAAACTTATTGGAGGATGCGTTACATATGACCCTCCCTAATGCCAATAATTATGTCTTGTATCTTTGGGAAATTTAATACAGGATCGCACATGGACAGCTGGTAAATTGTCTTTATTATTCGATTGCTGGTTTTATGTATTTGTAGCTAAAAATACTAATTTAATAAAAGTAGTTATAGGAGGATAGAGTCATGTGTAGAAGTTCACGAAAGTGAGGAAAGTTCTCTGATCGCCATTCAGTTGGGAATGAGCCAGAAACGATTCTTGTACATATGACTCAAGTAGCTCATGACTTCCGGTCATTGACCAAGTATCCTCTGGGTAACCTAAGGACATCCGTTTGAAGGCGCAACATCCCAATGAAAAATCAACAACGGCCTCGGATGAGAGACTTTTTAACTCGGCTATAATCGCGTAAGCGGTGTCTACGCCAATTAAGAAGAAGAAGAAGTTATTAAGTAGACCTTAAACAAATATATTTTGAACGTAGAAGCATTTTTAGTAACATTTCCTGAGACATGGTGATGCGTAAACATTTAGACACTTCGAGGTACTGTGATTTATAAGAAGTATGTGTACAAATATTGACACATTAAGCTTTGCTTCATATTCCTTTAATCGAAAAATGGGTTAAGATGATGTCATCCCCATAGAATTCGGCAACACCTCACTAGAGGGTCTCGATTTTGAACGATTTTCACACATTCACACTTGTCTGCTTTTCCTTGTGCTCATGCAAGTGCTTTTTCAGTGATTAATTTCAGTAAGAAACTTCTAAACTACACAGCTATTTCTCCGGTGGCAAATTAATTTTGTAGAATTTCTCATTTTGCCTTGTCTCTTGAGCAAGTGCAATTCTTGAATGAAGTGTACCGTGAAAAGTCCTCCTAAATGTGAATATATCGACTGTGAACAAGCAACAATCAAGTTGTTTCGAATATCGTTCGTAAAATTTAGTAAAAAAGTGTCTTGCCTTCCACTGTGTACATTGGTGTATCATTCGAGGAACTAACGGCATATTTGAGTATACAGAAATGGAAGGAATAAAAGTAAAGTAAGTTGAATTTTCGTTTTATTTTAGCAATCACTTTCCAATTTCCGTTTGCATTTCCGTTTTAATTAAAGGTGTGCTGGTACTGACAACATTTGTGTCGTCGGAGGCTCGATCCCAATTGCAAGGTCAATGAAGTGGGGGAGGGGATGACAGCAAATTTGCAAACGATAATGACACTTGTCAGCGTGACAGCGTAAGTGACAATGCAGCAATGATTTTTGGTACGTCGATTCTACATCCGTCCATATACATATTTGTGCGTATCTCTATATACAAATGTGTGCGCGCTCATGGGCGTAAGCGATAATTGCAGTATGCGTCAGGCATAAACGAAAGCTAACAAAACTCCGATGTGTTGTATGCGTGCGCGTGTGTGGATTATTGAGCCTTGAATTCAAATTGCAGGCGTCATTTCCAATTTCATCAAATCTCGCTCGCACTGAAGGGGAAAAGTAATGAAATGAACTTGCTCCCAACAGATGGAAAACTTATAGTTGATTGAGCGCAGTCAAGCTATTACTCCAGCGAATATTGGCACGATTAAAATGACCTTAAAATAGGTTATAACATTAAAAACTCAAGTCATGAAAGATCTCGTTGGGGTTTCACAAGTTCTTTAGTGCCATTAATAAAAAGTGAAAATTTTTTAGAAATTAGAAATTTATGCAAGCAATGTCAGGGTAGAAATGGACTCCATTTCTTGAAGATAAATTTTACCCAAAGCGTGTTCGTCTAACAAACTTCTTCTTAATTTTTAGAAATTTGCTCTTACGAGTATGAGTTTGAGATGCTTCGCCTTGAGGCATTTATTATCTTAAGGGGTCACAAGGGTTTCATCCAGAAAAATGGACTATTTTCAACCCCAATTTATTTTAATATCAAAATGGAATATTATATTTCATTTAAGGTTTTTATTCTCTTATAGCTACACATTTCAAAAATAATTTCTGAAATTTTTATAGAAAATCCATAAACTCCGTCATTGTGACATCATTTCCGTGATAGTTGTATCTCAAACCGATCGAAAGTCCACTCTATATGATTATTAATAAATAATTGAGTTAGAAACGTTTGCTCTGAGGCGAAACTGCACCAGTTCTTATATCGCGGCGTTCTCATGATATCATACTAAAATAAAGGGTGCTTTTTAGAAATATAGCTTTCAGAAAGAATTAAAGTGGCGTAAAACAATGATATGACCAACGATTTAATTTTACTATAAAGAAAGGGGTTTGCCATTATGTTTTCAAAATTACTTCGGGTCAGAGACCACCGTGGCTGGCTGGAATTAATGCCGAGGTAAGTCTGTTCATTATGAAATGGCAAGCCACTATGTGTACAAAACAAGTAAAAGTTGTCAAATAAACCGACTTCTGAAAATTATTGCCTGCATGAAAACCACAAGCCACCACCACCAACACCCGTTAAGACTTTTTTTAGTCATTATTATTATTTTGCGGCTTTACCGTATATATGCATGTAGCGGCACTCACCTTGAACATATCTTTAAATTTATTTAATGCATACATTCACATTTAGTGCAACTAAAGGTTAAGTTATCCTACATTATCTACATTGTTATTCTGTTTCTCCTCCCATACAATAGTCTAGCTATCATAGTAACACTTGTATATTGACAGCATCATCTGGTCATATGATGCTTGTTGATCACCGTTACCTAATTACGCCTATAAGTTATTAAATTCTAAGCTAAGCATGTCAGTAGCATTTGCCATCACGTCGTCCAAAAGTGTATTAATAATATTATCTATATGGTATATATTGGGTAAAAAATCAGATCTTTTAAAAATATTGGGGCGATTAATTATCTTAACATAGCGCGGACAAGTATCGAATAAATGTGATATCCATTATAATGCAAATAAGTGAGAACATGACCTATAGGAAAAGTTAATGTGATACCAAAAAAGGTGGCAATCTGTTGACAATGGTGAGTAATAGCAATGTCTAATCCATGCCTTACATTTCATATAATGTCTACAATTTTTGTAAGTTCATCGAAACATGTTCACTCATACTATAACTCTCATAACTATAAAAATTGAGAAAGTACCTATATAAAGGAATTGAAGACTTTTTTGGTAGGTTGGTTGAAAACAAAGGTGCATAGGCGTCGGACCGCAGGCGGCCACATTTAGACCCATTTACGCTTTATCTAGCAACTCTGTAGATTTGATAAAATATCTAATTTTCGCCCCCTATATCGACATTATTTGACATAAATTAGCATTAATTTTGTGGAAGCTGGTATTGGCAAAGTCGTTTTACACGAAATGATCAAATCAAATGGTTTGTAGAGATTTTTCTATGATTCTAATTATCTTGCAAATCGATCATTCAGAAACTTCTAATGGTCAACAGTGGTGGGTCCACCAAGAAAAGTAATAAATAAAAATTATTCATGTATTTTATAGATGAGTACATTGGATTTTTGAGGTGCTTTCGCTTTGGCATTGGGTTGGGGCAGTTCGGGAATGTAGCGGTTTTGTTTAAGTATAGAAGGTGGCAAATAATATATTAAGGGTTAGCCTCATTTGGGTATATCCTTATTAAAATTATAATTTAACAAGCAAAAACGCTGTTATAGTTGAATATGCTTAAAATAATATTTTCGCTTTAAGCTGTTTGTAGTTTTTAGCCATTAAATTAAGGAAGTATAATTGATCTCTCTGATTGCAATACGAATCCACATGAGGCATCAGATCAAAAGTCAATCACGACGGACTATCGCTTTCCACGAATACCGGATTAATGCGAGCGTGAGGTCACAAACACATACAAAGTAGAACGACCACTCACGACGATATTACTATTTAGTACGTGTGTATGTGTTCGCGCTTATATAAATTTATCGCTTACGAGTACACAAACAATTGTATGGTTAAAATGGATTTCAATGATAATTGCGAATACTCACCCAGCAGATCATTGACGCCGGCGAATGTCATCACCAGGGATGCAACGAATAAATCCGCTATCGCTAATGACGCCAGAAATAAATTGCCGATGCGTCGCAAACTGCGTTCCGTATAAATGGCGAGGCAGACGAGTATATTGCCGGCGACCGATAGAAAAATCAGCACTGACAGGAAGATGCCTGCGGGGTATCATGTGCATTTCCCGGATGTCGATGAAGTGAGGTGAAGGCGGGCAAAAGGAAAATCAGCGTGAAAACTTATTGATTGGCGCGGCAAATCGCATACGAGCACAAATACTTATGCATACGAACGATCAAATATGTGAAATGATGTGTGAGTTATGCGAAAGTCAAATATAGAAGAAGTTAACAAAACACGGCAAAATAAATAAGTGCACAAAGAAAAAGGCGAACATCAAAATATAATAAAAAAAGTAGTGTCGTAATGCATTTTGTTGAGGAAGGTAACGTAATCACAACTAAGCTACAGAGTGACAGAGAAGAGAAATTAAATCTGCGAGCTAAGGTGGAAGTGAGCAGCTGGCAGTGAATTCCAAATGTCAATCGGTGCAACAGACGACGGATGCAGGTGTCAGAACATGCGACATGCTAGCATTCGGAAACTGTTCTTAGCAATTTGTTAGTGTCTTTGAAAATATGGAAATGTGAACAAAACTTAAAAGTGTTTCGCAAAATTCTCGAATAACCCAAAACTTTTTTGGGAGCGGAAAATAATAATATCTTACGGAACAATTATATAACTTAATAGCAATTCACGTTTTTTACTCTGAAATACAGAGAGCTCTTCTTGCCCTTATTCCCAGTTTTATGTACGTTGCATATATTTTGGTTTTCGAAACTACACAAGTTTTCGTTTTTGCTTTGGTTCTTGATATTAAAAAAACTTCTAGGTAAAACTTTCCGATTCTTAATGGTAAGATTGTCTGAATAATAACGGGTAGAGGTAGAGATACAAGTAGAGGTACTTTTCTCATTGGAATATTTTTGCCAGATCCCGCGTGAGGTGCGTCAAGCTGCCATGCTATTTTCACGTTCACGTTCTGTAAAGCACCCATGCTCACTCAACACATGGTCAACATACTCATGGCCAGCGTACTATTCGCAACACCATCACCCATCCTGAGACTCATCTCTCAATATTGAATAATATGCGACCGAATATACCACGTCCAGCACGCATTGAATAAATTATAGCAGCCGTCGCTAGGAGTGACACGAAGACCGCGGATAATCGATTCGGCGCCGTCCGCAGAAACTCGAGCTGACGTATGAAATGACTTGGCGCATTTTACGTCGAGATATTAAATTGAAAGTAAACAAAATACAGCTTTTGCAATAACTGAAGCCGTTCGATCTTTTCAAGCGATATCGCTTCGGACTATGGGCGCTTGAAAAGTTCCAAGAAGATGCGAAGTTTTCGAACGAAATTTTGTTCAGCGTTAAGGCTCATTTCTCGCTCAATTGGTACGTAAACAAGCAAAATTGTCCCATTTTGGAAAAATAGCAGTCATTTCATCCAGAAAAAACAAAGGTTTGGTGTGGTTTGTGGGCCGGTGGAATCATCGGTCTTTATTTCTTCAAAAGTGATGTCGATGAGAACGTATCCATCAAGGCGACCATTATCGCGCTATGATAAAAGATTTTTTGATGCCTGAAATTAAATCTCGAGATCTCGGCGCCACTTCCCACACATCGCATTAATCAATGGATTTATTGAGAGAATACTTCGGTGAGCAGATAATTTCGCGTTTTAGGCCAGTAAATTAGTCACCAAGATCGTGTCATATCACACCGTCAGACCTTTTCCTGAGGGAATATGTAAAGTATAAAGTCTAGCGGACAATTCCGCTTCGATTCACGCCTTGGAGCAAAGCGAAGAATACTGTGAACTAAGTAGCTGATTAATGAGAAGAACCCAGCATTGGAAAAACGAAATAAAACTAGACGTTAAAACGAATCCACTTTGGACATGCTGCGAATAATTGCAATGTCTATTTTAGTCCAGAAAACAAAAATTACTAAAAAACTAAAGTTCAATGAATACACATGTGTTGCTTAAACTGAGTGTTTGTGCGAGTATTACATAGATAAGTGTAGATGCGCGTGTTTATTCATTCACTTGATAGACATTCAACGACATTTACTTTACCAACAACTAAAATTGACACAAGAGACACCGCATCAGGATCCTCACCCACTATGGTATCGGCCTCGGATGGATTTATCCACGACGTGTCATTGAAGTATGAAGTCAGCTGAAACAAAATAAAACATGGGGTATATGTTAGTGGAAATTGCCAAAAACTTTTTTTGTAATATATATATATACAAATATGTACATATGCATTGTAAGTCGAATAATGGCAAGTCTCGATTGTATTTAGCATACATAGTTGTCATAAAAACTTTACCCTTTGCTGCTCTTTTCTACATGAAATTACAGAACACAAAAGTATTAGGTTTAAATTTTAGAAGAAACCGCCTGAAAGAAGAGGAATCGTGGAAATCTGAAAAAAATTTTGCTAATACTGTTCTCTTAGCGTCACATATACATATTGTTAAGCAGACTATATGAAAGGTTAAACTTTATAGCTACTCCCTTTATTTTATGCTTGCTAGTCATGCTTCATCTAAAACGCTGCCAGATGTTATTAGCATGACGCGGAGAAGCGAATATTTGCCATCAGCCGAGCAAAGCCAAGTTAATGGCAAGAAGTTTGTTTAACATTATTTTCACAATCCTTTTGCTTATTGCACTTTGTATTTTCTGGCTACGGCGACTCTTTGCGTTCGCTTGCAATTTGCTCACAAGTCAATTTGCCATCATAGCTGCCAAGTTGCTGTCAAAATATGACAAGAACTGACAGCGCAACTGTGTGAGTGACGGCAAGAAAAAGCCATTTGCGAACACCTCGTACATATGCAAAGGAGAAATATAAGTGGGAGCGAGAGCGAGAGTTTTAGGTTCACAAATGCAAATCATTAATCATTAGTAAACCGCAGACAAGACGTGCTAATATTCAAAGCTCTAGCTGCTGTGAGAATGCTACCATAAGCACATAGAAACAGCTGACATCACTGCGGTACGTTAGAGAAGTGCTTGCTGTCACTAATTGCAATCATTAAACTAATTTCAAATGAAAATGAGTAAGTGCTTATGTACAGGGTTGCAGTTAGTCTACAACACTGCTTTAATAAAATGTGTTATTCGAAAAATTCTCTTTGTTAAAGACTTCTTTGGTAGGAATTTAAAGATAACGCAACAGATATTAGTAATCCTAAGCCGCTCAGCAATTTGACGAAATTTACAATTTCATAGTCTGCGGTGTAACGGGTTTGTTAGCGAATTTGCACATTAAGCAAGTCTCTTGGCTGGAAAGCCAGCCAACGTAAATTCACTGTAATTGTCTAGAGCTTTAAACAATTCTCTATCCTAGCACGCACACATAAACACAGTTGTTCATAAGTAAGTGTGGCTTGCAGTGGATATGTCGGTGTGTTTGTTGATGGCTGGTCAGCTGTTCTGTGGTTTGCTACCACAAATTTAATCAATTTACTAACCGCAAGTTCAGTGGTTACACAATGGAAGTGAGACATGTGTGTTTAGTATTTTGGGGTTAGAAAGGGTGATGCTACAGGTTAGGCACTGCATACACAATTTGATATGACGATTCGGACGAAGTATGCAAGAAAGTGCATTAGTCCGACGGTTCATAATTCTTAGATCCTTCGTCACGTGCAGTTCACTCCTAAATTCAAGGCCATGGTAATTGTTAAGACCGGATACCGAATTACGTGGTTCATGTAAAAAGTATAGCGAAATTGTATTTATTATGAAAAGCTTCTTTTATTTATGAATATCTATGTATATTGTTCAACACTTCTCCAGCCTGCTGAATGGCAGTGAACGCACAACGCCAGGAGAAGGCGAACCCGATCCCCCAATCGATGACGATGGAGCAGACGTTCCATTACCCGACCATGATGAAGTTCGAATAGCAATTGCCCGCCTGAAAAACAATAAAGCGGCAGGGGCCGATGGATTACCGGCT